ATGTAGAGATCCCGCTAGAAGCTTTGATGGGTCTAGCATTGGGTCTCGGCTTATCAGGTAGGGCACTGTCATCGACGTGTGCTGGCATGAGACGATCAATGCTGACGATTTCGACGCGGCCATGTCGATCAACCTTGAAGGTCTTTTCGTGACAGGAAATCAGATGAAAAGGTCCTTCGTAAGGCTGTTGTAGAGGTTTGCGTACCGAATCTACTCGTATGAAAACATGTGAACAGGTAGATAACTCTCCAGGGAGAGCGACCTGTCGATGTTGTATGCGAGTTGACACCGGAGTCAGTGTTCGCATGAATTTCGTTTTCGTGTTCTGGAAGAGCACTTTTAAGTTGGCGATGAAACCGTTCAACTAAACCGTTTGATGCTGGATGGTAGGCGATAGTGCGTATGCGTTCCGTACCAAGCAGTCGTGTTAGTGAGGAGAATAATGCGGACTCAAATTGTTGTCCTCGGTCAGTCGTGACAGTCGAGGGACAACCGTACAGAGCTATCCATCGTTCTACGAAGCGGTGAACGACTGTCTCCGCCTTAATAGACGTGATGGGAATAGCTTCGGGCCATCTTGTGAAACGATCAATGCACGTGAGTATGTGATCATACCCGTGCAATGGTGGTAATGGTCTTACAATGTCTATGTGAACGTGATCGAGGCGAGCATCAGGCGTAGCGAAAGTGCCAATAGGGGCAGCTACGTGCCTGTGCACTTTTGATCGTTGACATTGTAAGCATTGCTTTACCCACATACGGACATCTTTATTCATGGACGGCCAGACGTATCGTGCGGCGATGAGGCGTAGTGTGGCTGCGATACCAGGATGAGATAAGCCATGAAGGGCATCAAAGACAAGACGGCGATAAGCGGAGGGTACGATGGGTCGAGGGAGGCCCGTGGAAGTATCGCATAGGATAGTATCTGAGCTAGTAGCTAGGGGTACTTCCCGGCACTGAAGGGACGTAGACTGTTGTGCTTCCGTGCATGAAGTATCGTTTGCTTGGGCGGCGGCCATAGCAGGTAGATCGAGCACTGGCAAAGTAACTGCATTCAGTTGGATACGTGATAAAGCATCAGCAACACAGTTCGACTCGCCTTTGACGTGACGAAGGTCTGTCGTGAACTGAGAGATATAGTCTAAATGTCTGCACTCTCGTGGTGAGTAGCGGTCAGACTTGGTATACAGGGCATACGTTAAGGGCTTATGGTCGGTGAATAGGATGAAATTACGACCTTCTACAGAGTGCCGGAAATGTTTGATGGCACAGTAGGCTGCTAGCAGTTCGCGACCAAGAGCGCTATATCTCGTCTCCTTGGGAGTGAGGCGTCGTGAGAAAAATTCAAGGGGCTGCCAACTACCGGAGATATTCTGTTGCATAACGGCTCCTATGGCGAAATCCGATGCATCAACCGCTATGCTAGGCGTGGCTGATGGGTCAGGATGCACGAGAAGTGTGGCTTGAGCTAGGGCCGTTTTGATATCTGAAAATGCTGTACGTGCGGCGTCATTCCATTCCAGTTTGCGTGGATTACCGCGAAGTAAACCGGTTAACGGTCGTAACTGTTCTGCCGCGTGCGAAATGAAGCGTCGGTAGAAGTTGACCAAACCGAGAAATGCCTTCAGTTCCTTGAGTGTGGACGGTACAGTGTACTCCATTATCGTACGTACTTTATCCTCACAAGGTAAAATACCCTCATGCTTAATAACATGACCTAAGAATTTTATTTCCTTCTTCCCGAGTTCACACTTGTCGGGGTTGACTATTATTCCATTTACCCGAAAGGCGCTGGAATAGTAGCGTTAGGTGTTGATAATGTTCATCTACGTTTGATGATGCGATTAGCAGGTCATCAATATAGACGTGAACAAAATCTAGGTCTCGTACGATGCTGTCGATAAATCTTTGGAAAGTTTGAGCAGCATTCCGTAATCCAAATGGCATTCGTAGGAACTCAAATAAACCGAAAGGAGTCGTGATAGCAGTTTTCTCTATATCTTCAAGAGCGACTGGGATATGGTGATATGCTCGTACCAGATCGATCTTGGAAAAAATTGTCGTGCCGTTGAGTGATGCCGTGATGTCATGTATGTGGGGGATGGGATAGCTATCGAAACGTGTAGCTGCGTTTAACGCTCGGTAGTCTCCGCATGGTCTCCAACTAACCCCATCCTTTTTTCGAACCATGTGGAGAGGTGAGGCCCAAGGACTGTGAGAAGGACGGATAATACCAGTAGCTAGAAAATTGTCGAACTCACGTTTAGCGAAAGCTAGTTTGTCCGGTGCCAGTTGGCGAGGTCTTGCCGTGACTGGTGGTCCGCGAGTGACTATGTGGTGTACCACACGATTGGTCACCGATGGAGTCTCCTCGAGAGGTTTACTTAATTTGGGGAATTTCTGAAATAAAGCGTGGAATAAATCGTCACGCGAATGAAATACACCTGTGATTCGGTACGCGTTTGTGTGGGCTTTAAAGCCCATAAAGTTGCTGTTCGACGAAGTATCAATTAACTGCAGCCTACGTGAATCAACTAGCAATTCATAGTGCTGTAGGAAATCGATACCGAGTATAGCTGTGGGAACATCGGCAATGATGAACGTCCACAGATACTGTCGACGGTAGCTCAGGTTGACCGTAAGTTGTCGTGTACCATAGGTGGGAATGACTGAGCCATTCGCAGCGCGTAGTCGAAGCATAGTGGCTTGAGACTTACTGTTACCGATAGGTACGACAGAAACTTGGGCACCCGTATCCACAAGGTACCTAGCGTTAGTGCGATAATCGTGCACGTAAAATAAACGGCCCACCTGAGGTGAAGTGCCGGCGAGTACGGCCGCATTTACTCGCCGGCTCGAGTGTTTCCCGCCTCGTATGAGCAGGGAGCTCGACATTGACGGGCACCGGCCCCGAAGGCACGGTGGAACCAGCACCAACTCGAACTCGCTTCCGAAGCCGCCTTCTGGCGTGGCTTGGAAGATGCCCGCTTGGGGCGAGTCGCTACGGCTGTTCGAGATCGTGACCTGGGTCGGGGGACGTAGGGGGCTGGCACATTTGCGCGGTCTCGGAAACTGAGACGAGTATAGATACATCTGTCCCTATCCCCATGAGCCGAAGGTCGTCTAGCATCGAAATCCATGTTTGTACGAGAAGTAGAGGCAACAATATAGTTGTCTTTGGCGCTAGCGCGTGCTGCAATTTTGTCTGCTCTGAGAGCCACCTTGTTCAGTGGGGTGTCCTCGAGCAGGGCCGTAAGAGTTGGTTGGATACTAGCTGGTAATGCTTCGAGCCATAACTCTTTGACTATTTCGGAGTCTGCTGTCGAGTTTCCTGCAAGGGATTGCAGGCGCGTGAGGTGGTGGCTCGGCTTAGCATCACCCATAGGGTGACGTGCTAATAGAGTCCTCAATCGTTCCTCTCCTGATGGGAGGAAATGTCGAAGGATAGCATCCTTAAGACGGTCGTAAACGTTCGGAACGTTCGGATTGAGGACAACCTCACGAACAGCAGGTAGGTGATCCCCGGGCGATGATTCCATAGCGTAGGCGTACTTTTGCCTTTGGTTCGTTACGCGGTGGATCTCAAATTGAGATTCCAGTGCCGCGAACCAGACTTCTGGATCATGAGGGATGAAAGGAACCGGTCGAAAATTAATAGCCTGTACCTCGGAGTCTATTGTATTTATACTACTCTTATCGTTATCCACCATGGTAAGTTGCCAAGATATTATATATTGAAAATATCAATGCGAATATATGCAACAGAAGTGGATAGATACACAGACTCACCAAATTGATCTGGGTTGGAAAAATGGCCAAGTTTGAACTGTGCTCGAAGAATTGGGTTACTGGTTGTGGTTCACCAGATGTTGTGCGTGTTCCCAATACGGCTCACCAGTTTGTGGTGAGTATCCCAAATACGGCTCACCAGTTTGTAGTGGATGTCGAGTCGAAGACGGACTATGATCACCACTACAATTCGTTTACGCGCCCAAAAACAACTTGGTTCCCTTAATAGCTCGTAAATCAGAAAGCTTTATTAATCCAGATCACGTATATTTATTGGCGATCTCGTGGTGTCGAAATAATACCGAGACGTGCCAAAGAGTACAGGCAAAATGAGCAGTGTGTGAGCAAGTTCGAACCAAACAAGGCGGAGAGCGAAAGTAGAAGTGAAACTGATACAGCTAAACAAATACAGTAAAACAATCTCTGGTACAATTGGTTACAATAATAATAATTGTTGCCGTTATTCCAATCGTGTTCTTATCGAGACTGGCCGGTCACTACATGTTCATGGACACTGAACACGGTAACAATTAACAGTATAGTATCGATGGTATGTTTCTTCCATGCGTTCAGGAACATAGGGACTGAGTAAAAATAGTGATTGAGAACTTGGAAGCAACTACGCATTGCAACGCAGCAGCTGTCAAGGGTTTTCGTGAGTTATAATTATTTATACGATCATTTAAATGCATTGATGAGATGCTTCGAGTTTTATATACCACCTACGTAAGACCGCACTGTTTCTAAGCAGCTGGTCTATGCCTTATTAAGGAAACTTATTAACTTATACGTGTTCACCGTGTGAGAAGAAAGTTAGTGAAGGGTCTGTTCAAACTCTATCTAATCTCTTAAAATGCCAAAACCTTTTCCCCTTATCGTATCGTAGAACATGAGGTGGCCTTGTTTTGGCATTCCGTATCTTTATTCACGATTTGAACACTAGTATGTTTCATACTTTTGCTTCATTGAGCGCTAATAATCCTCAGTGACATAGTAAGAAAACTCAGAAATCTCGATCTAATAAACTCAGAGTGGGGTTCCGTTTTTCTTGTCGAGCGGTTAATGACTTGAACACGCTACTAGAACAAACATTATCCGTTCCATCAGCGAAAATTTTCAAGGAGATGCTGGACCTTCCCTGGAAAAAATTGTAAGGACTAAGACAGGTCAATGAACCTACTAACCTTATTGCTGAAGAGTGAGTATAATTGCGGTTCATTCGCCATTTGCGCTACTGTCTCCCCCTAAACCATTGGTCTGTATTGTTTCGTGTAAGCCTTCATGTAAAGAGCATTAAGTCCTCTATCTTTCTCACGCCTCTCAACTTACGTTAAATCCCTTTAAATGTTTAGGTTTCCATCAAAACATATTTCTCAGAAGCTTTTGGAATCTAAACATTTTAAGTCTCAAGGAGTCAAATAAGCAGTAACCAACATTACCTGTTTCTGCAAACACTAAGCTCAAGTATATTTCAATCGATCAATCGCTTAAATTAGAGTAGTTGTGTAGAATACTGCTTTTATTTTATGATCATTTTTTCCTTAAAAAGGCATTGTTTACCAATCACATTCCGTACATGTTTCGAAACAAAATAGACCAATCTGACACCAGTTTCCGTAATATCACCCGTTAACTGGATAACAGCTAGATTGACTCACAATTGATTGATCACTGTGTGGTGATCAATCTCATGCGTGTCAGGTCCTTAGTGCTGATCGAATGCTATCGATCAAGTTGCAATGTGGCCACCAGTCTAGGTGGCTCGATACTGCGGGCACTATATATATTAGGGTAACATGGTGGTTGGAGGTGGTCAACAGGAAACCCTGGACCCGGGTTTCGTGCTACTTGGCACTCGTCAACAAGGTGTACCCATGTTACCCTAATATATATGGCTAGATTGACTGTTACCTGTTGGTGTTGATGAACGTTCCATTTCTTCACCACACTGAAACAGTAACTGTGAATTAAGAGGATATTTGGTAATTTTATATCTTTTAAATTTATATATCCACCTTATAGAGTGACGCAACTGACTTAACCTGATCCTTTTGTCTTCTATGTTTGTAAATAACTTTAAATGTCTTGACCTTCATTTTCACAACTTAATTTTGCTGACATTTTGTCAGTTATTGTTGTATTCACTCTAAATCTGTTTTGTAACAAATGAAAAGTTCAGCAAACACTGAAATAATAACTTGCTAAATTACTTAAGGTGGCCTGTCAGTTTCTTTCCCAAATTAAATCCAATCGGAGTTTGCTAGGTTAGGTTCAATTTATGAATCATGATCCAGCAAAACTTCGTAGTACTACTCAATACTTAGTCGGAAAACAATTCCGATTTTCCCGCTTGTCCTCCATAACTATATACTTAACTTCTCTTACTATCTCATTTACTATGTCTCTTTCATCCAAAACGTTATTTTCCGCTGCAATAATTTGTCTCCTTATTGATATCCCCGTCACAGGCCTATTGACTGTTCAACGTTTTCTTATAGCTTAACAACAATTTATGGTCGCAACAGCCTGTTGACGAATAGCAATAATTGCCTAATAGCACTTTTAACCAAATATTTTATTTCCAGGTTGTCCATCGACTAAAAAATGACCACAGCCGGGAGACCAACATGGGATACTGCTAAAGGTAGTAGGGGAAAGTGGGAAGGTGATTTAAGTGCATTGTCCAAACAGTACTCTGTTCGTGACTTACCGGCACATACAAAATTGAAATTGCGTCAAGAAGGACAAGGAAGACCTGAAGATATTCAAGGAAAAGATTTTAAACGTGCTTTGGAAGAAAAAGAGAAACGATTAGCTCAAGAAAAGTCGGGAAGGCGTAAGTATAGTCGATTCACTTATTCTTGATACAAGTTATTCATGAACACCTCTAAAAACTTAACCCATAAAGCGATAAAAATGCATAGGCTTTAAAAAACTTGTCACACTTCTATCTGTAAGTGACAGTTAACTTATGGTATAGATACAAGTAGTTTCGTTAACATAATCTCAAATACTTCCTCATATATAATAGACTCAAATCGAATGAGATTTGTGAGGCGCATATTTATCTGGTGCTTCCTTGTACCAATATTTATGTGTTTAAATAAATAAATCATTGGTAAAAACGGTTTCCTAGAATAACTATACGACTTAAATTTTCGACTCAAAATTTTTTAAGCGGACCCATACAGTCCTTACGCTTATGATTTAAAGTATTTTTAAAGATATTCTGTATTTTCATGTCTGTTTTGGGTTTTTGTGGCAAAAGGTACTAACAGCGTAAATGAATTCTCTTAGGTGGTCACTTGAAATAAAAAGTACTATTGTTGAAGGTCATTAGTGCTTATGTCTCTATTGCGGGTGAAATAGGATCACGTTGAAAGTTTTTGGCATATCTAGCAAACTCTTTTGCTTTAAACTTCGGAATAGCAACGTCCAAGCTTCCTCATGAACTCATAAATGGAGAAGAATGTCCCGATAATCAACTCCCTATAAAAAATAGGTCAGTTGGGATTGAACATTAATGATCTTTTTGGTTTTTATTAATTCAACTATCCAGTGCTTGATCAAGCACCTTCACTATCGCTCGGCACTGCGAGTGTATCCTATTCACCAGTTTGCCAGACTGATAGTGACATTTTTTCGGATATGTTTATTTATTTATTTGAACATAAATATTGATACCAAGGGTCACCATTTATAAATGCTCCACACTAAAAATTAGTTTCTGAAGAAATAAAGGAAGTACAGTGAGTATAATGGAAAAGAGAAGCAACAACGAATAGAAACTAGTGCGTGAGAGTGAAATAATATTAATAATAGGAGAAACAGTTCAGTTAGGTAAAATGCAACAAGAAAAAACTCTTTCAGTTCAAGAAGTTAATCTCCCTTTTGTGAAGAAAGTAAATGAAAGTTACAACAGAATCGTTACTGCTTCTTACTCTGAGCCATTTTTGATAACGTCCCAAGCCACTGCGTTGCATCATCTCTAGGACCTGAACCAGGGGAGTCGTGAAGGTAGAAATCAGTTCTGGAGAGTTTTCTTTCGTACCACGACTTCATACACTGTCCGCCTCTCCGCTTCTTCCAACTATTCCTAGCGTCGGCAAATAATGCCTGATATGGAGTTCGCTAGGACGACATTCGTAAGACATGTCCAAGGCACCGAAGTCGGTATTTCAAGATCGTGACACCAATTGAATTGTCGTTGCTGTACCTGGACACACGTCGAACCTCTGCATCACTAACATGTTGCCACTAAATGTCGGCAGTACTTCGGAGACGACGGTGGTCAAACACACAGAGTCTTCAAACATCAACTCGGAGACTCGGATCTACAAGTAAAAACAAAACTTCTCCCGCCCATCAGTTGTAAACCGGACCTTTTACAGCTGATTCATTACAACAGCATCGAAGGTGTCCCAGATTGGTGCAAGCCGTTCTGGCTTTCATTACGCTTAGGTTGATTTCATCAGTTACCCCACTCCTTGTACTTGTATAGCTACCCAGACTCAATAACTTTTTGACTACTAACGGATCACCACAAAGAGTAAGTGTTGACACAAATTTCTGCCAGTCATTTTGAATGTGAAAAGTACATGACATATGGACAGTGATTGCCAACTGATTAGTTGCTATTTGCATACCAAATGTATCTACGCAAATTAATGCAATGTCATCCGTAAACTCAAGGTCAAAAAGTCTTTCTGAAGGTAAAAGATTTACATCACCACCAGCAACTTCCACTAGAACTGTTTCCAGAACGTTATCGGTGGCAAGGTTAAGGAGGAATGGTCAGACTGGGCAACCCTGCCTAGCCCCATTGTTTGAATGAAACAATAGACAGAAGTGATTGCATTCACTCACTCTGCCTTAGATGGTTACCTCAAACGAGTCTGTCAGCTGTCCTTCATGCATGATTTGGCAGTTTAATCCATCATAGGAATTCCATATGATATTGACTATCTTTTCGGGTACTCCATGGTGTCTAAGAAGCCTCCATAGTGTTATCCTGTCCATGCTATCAAATGCTTCCTCGTAGTCAATGAAGTTGGTGTAGAGTGATGAATTCCATTCAATTGATTGCTCCACAATGGTCCATAGAGTTGCGATTTGGTCTGTACATGATCGATCCTTACGGAATCCAGTCTGTTGATCTCGAAGTTGGGCGTCTACGGAGTCCTCCATTTTGCTTAACAACACCCTGTTGAAGACTTTTGCCGGTATTGAGAGAAGAGTGATGCCCCTGTAGTTATTACACTTACTGAGATCACCTTTCTTCGGCATTTTGATAAGATGTCCTTCTTTCCAGTCTGTTGGCACTTGTTCTTCATCCCAAATCTTGCTCGAAAGAATGTAGAGTATCTTTGCAGTTACTGTTACGTCTGTTTTCAGTGTCTCTGATGGAATGTCGTCTGGTCCTGCTGGCTTGCCGCTCTCGATTTGTCTGATGGCCATGTTGATCTCTTCAATTGTTGGCGGGCCAACATTGATTGAGAGGTCCGTGGGTGCTGCTTCGATGTTGGGTGGGTTCAGTGGAGCTGGTTGATTCAAGATTTCTTTGAAGTGTTCTACCCACCTGTTGCATTGTTCTTCAATGTTGGTGATTACTTTGCTTTTCACTGGCCGTTCTGGCTTTCAGTAATTTCCAGCGAGTTTCTTTGTTGTATCATACAATTGTCTCATATTTCCTTCTCTGGCAGCCTTTTCTGCTGTCATCGCTAAATCTTCCACATATTTACGTTTGTCGTTTCTGATGCTCTTCTTCACTTGCTTGTTTACTTCTGTGTATTCGGCTTGTGCCTTGGCATTTTCTGCTCTCATTCGGCTGGTATTGATTCCTGTCATCTTGTTCCTCCTTCCTTCAATCTTATCCAGTTTATCAACAGTGATCCATTCCCTGTGATGATACTTTTTGTGGCCCAGAACCTCCTGACATGTTGAAATGATTGCCTCCTTGATCCCTTTCCAGTTGTTCTCCATAGTAGTTCCCTCTGAACTAAGTATATCATGAAAGGCCTAGAATCTATTGCTGAGGGATATCTTGAATTCGTTAAGTCTGTCAGTATCTCGAAGAAAGGCCATATTAAACCTTTGTGATATTGTCCGCCCCGTTGTCTAGTGCTTCTTGAGTTTCAGTTTCATCGTGGCGACTAGCAAGTGATGATCTGATGCTATATCAGCTCTTCTCTTGGTTCTCACATCCTCCATCGTCCTCCTGAACTTTTTCTTGATGCAGATATGGTTGATTTAGTTTTGTGTAGTGTGATCCGGCGAAGTCCATGTGGCTTTGCGTATGCGTTTATGTGGGAATATAGTGTCGCCTATGACCAGTTTATTGAAGGCACAAATCTCTCACCATTTTCTTTCCTTTCTCCCAGTCCATGTCTTCATATGTGGTGTCGTCCATTCCAACCTTGGCATTGAAATCTCCCATCAGAATGGTCAGGTCCTTTGTTGGGCACTTCTCGACGACCGACTGAAGCCTATCGTATAATTGATCTTTAACGTCTTCATTGTAATTGTTGGTTGGCGCATAGCATTGGATGACGTTCATTGTAATGCCCTCTCTCTTTGTTTCGAAGGAGGCTTTGATGATCCTTGGTCCATACGATTCCCATCCTATAAGTATATTTCGTGCTTGTTTGGACATCATCAGCGCAACACCTTGTGTATGTGAAGAGTTTTCTTTTTCATGGCCGGAGTATAACAGAGGCTCTCCTGAAGCTAGTCGTTGTTGTTCAATGTGTTTCACTGATTCCAAGCACCTCCAGGTTGTATTTCCTCATTTCTGCAGCAATTTGGAAGACTCTTCCGGTCTCCCACATTGTCCGGACATTCCATGTATGTATAAAAATTTTCGCTTTGGTTGTTAGAAGCGCCATCGGCCTTGTGACTTCCGAAGAATCTCGTCTTTCATCATGAGGCGTCATAATTCTTCCTTCAACTCCCATGCAGAGTTTAGATAGTTTTAATTATTTTTTCTGGTTAGCGTTTTTTAGCGAGTTAACTTTCTACAGGATGGGGTCGCTAACCCCATGCCCAACCCTGCTCCTGTATCCGGCCTTGGGACCGGCAGTAGCCCTCGGAGGAGCTACAGGCGGAGTTAGAAAGAAAGGTATAAAACAAATTTAATCTCACAGTTTGAGGAAAGACAAAGGGTATATGCACCTACACCATTGTGATCGATTCTAAACGATGTCATCCAGAGTCTCCAACCATTAGTTACGGTAGTCTCACGGACCCCGACCGAGTAGTCTTTATCTACCAACATGTCTCAGACAGGAAGTAAGTGGCTTTATGGACTAATGTCACGTTTTGGTTTGTCCACCCGCAACCTTCTTCCAGAATTCTCAAACACTGATCAGCATTGTGCGCCATGGTAACCAGTTGATGAAGCTTCACAGCCTCATCAATTGATTTACCATCATTCCCTAATAGCGTGCTTCTGATTTCACTATTATTTACTCAGTGATCCTAGCAGATGCGAGCAATATTTATAGGATATCTGTGACCAAATACTAGTAACTTACGAGTATCTTCTACTCTTAATGGCCACGTTTCGCAGCCGTAAAATAGAACAGAACGAACTGCTGAGCAGTATACTCGTCCTTTAATTGATATTTGGATATCTCGCCTTCGTCATAGGTGACTCAAGTTAGCGAAAGCTAAGTCCCAATGTAGCCTATGCCCAACAATAGGTTCATACACCATTTGTTCCCTGAGGATCCTAGAGCCCATGTGCACCACTGGTTTGGAATCGGGGTTTGCCATTCCCTTAGGTGGATCCTCCGTATCCACCAACCTGGTTAAAACGCCGGATATTCGCATTTCGTCCTTCAAATTTCGTAAACAACATCCCTGTCGTAAGAATTCAATGGGTTGAGCTTCCTTGGTTGTGGTTGTGTACGCGTGGCCATAGGATAGCATTTCCAGATGAAGAGCAGACTCTCCCCCGTACCAGTGCATTCGGGGGTGCCTATGTTTGAGATCAAATACATTGTCTGATTATTATAGTCTTAGTTATTATTATCCGTGGGGTTAGCGAAATACATTGTTTAAATATTATGCTCACCTTATCGTCCAGTTCTCTCATATGAACTCGTCCTTAGTATGTTTATTGTGATGCTGATGAGAGACGAATAGGGCTGAAAAAGGCTGAAGGAGTTAGATTACTATAAATCATTCATTGTTTGAGAGTGTTATAAATGAGTCCCCGAACGATCAACCAATAACAAGATTACTAGACAAATGGTAAGGTATTTTATATCACAAAATAACGTGTTTTCGTACATAATAAACATTATAAAACGTATTAGGCATTTGTAGGAAATTAGAACGTATTTCACTCATTCTCCAATCACCTAAGACCTGACTGTTATGCCTTATTTCTGAAGACCTGTTTCAGGCAGATCCACACAATGTTAGGCAGAATCATATACACTTGGCTCAGTGAGTTAGCAAAATTATATAGATCAGAAGCTGAAGACCTTAAGTGACAGCTCAAAACCAGTCGCAATATCTCGGATCTATCCACTTTTTCTTAATTGTGAACGTACTGCATTTTGTTTCCGTTAAACTCATCCTTGCTGTCTACCGAAAAAGCTTTCAGTGTTCCTTAATTTTTCTCCCCTGTGCTATTGTGAAAAAAGGAACGTTGTTCTGATTCATTTTTTGTGAGGTATTCCGTAATTTTATGATTATAACATTGGTTCTTAACTCTGGTTCAATTCCGCACAGTACCAGTTCCATCCTAACTACCTTTAAGTAACATCAAAGAATGCTGTTTCTTAGCTTATAAACACGAATTCTGTGGGCGTTATAGATATCACTTCATTATTATGTGTTAGAATGCTTAGGATGAATATTATCAACTATCACCAAATGCTTCTAAACTACTTCGTTTTTTAGTACATTTCGCTAGTAAACTCACTGAACGAAATCAGTTTTAAGCCAGAATTACTCCTTCTTGAAGACGACGACTTTGAGGAACTTCTTAAAATTCATATTATATTTCAGATAGGAATTTCGTATCTTCCAAAAATTAAGACACTACAATTGTAGAAGTTTCACATTTGTATTGCTTTTTCCGATTACTCTCATTTAGCTTCAATAAATGCCACTAGCCAACAACCAGCAATTACCAGTGCCAAACGACCAAGTTCTGCTACTGTCGCACCAACTATTGATAGTAGTACTATAGGAAGTATAAAACGTACACGACCTGAAACAACCACTACTGTCTCAACAACTAATTTAGACGCTGATGACCCATGGGACGAGGACTATGATGAAGATCAAGACGATGTAATTATCATTAAGAAATCGAATCATAATAAAAGTAAGAATTCAACTGAAAATAAGTTTGATGATGATCAAAATGATGGTGATGACGATGAAGATGCTGACAATGATGATGTCGACGACGATGATGAAGAAGATGAAGAAATGCTCCTAGCTGAACTGGCTAAAATCAAACGTGAACGAGCTGAAGAAGCAGCCCGTCTGGCTGCTGAAAGGAAAGCAGCTGAAGAAACTATTCGTATGGAAAATATATTGAAAGGAAATCCTCTTTTAAATTCATCTAATTCCTCAGGTTTGTTTTACAGTGTGTTTATAGTAAATCTATAATTATATATATGATATTCCAGTGAGTAGGAAATTTATGACGTCTCGCGACTTAATGATTTTTACATACAGTGAACTATTTAACTTCTACACAACCAACCATCCAAATTGTATGAAACAATTTATTAATCTAATTCAGTACGGCTGTGTCGGTCATCTATCTTCAAACCAATTCACATTTATCATTCCAGTAAGTTATAAATTCCAGGATTGAAATGTTCACAAAAAGATTGGTTCACCATTGATTGATCATTGTACTTACCGGGAAAATCGATGTTATTAATACCAAATGAGGATAATGAGGGAATAATAATGCGATATATCTATCAAGCACCTTTATTAAAGAATTTTCCTGCTTCTCAAGTTCCAGTAACTATTCAAATAGTTTATTGAGTAACCAGCTCTTCGGAAAGCTTAAAAATCATAGATTCGTTCCGAAAAGGGTAATCATATATATATACAGATCATAAGTCTTTCAGTGGGTCAGACGTCTAGTGCTGTCATATTCCCAGTAGTTGTTCAAACAAGTTATGATTGTAGCATGAAGAAGACTTTCGATATTTTATTAATTGATGAATGTTATTGTTTACTATGTTCATAAACAGTATAGTGTATGAAATACTGGTTTATACAAACTAACAGAAAGATTTAAAGGATTGGTACGCAATGGTAAAAATCAGTGGCATTAGAGTACAATAATTTTTGGAATGATTCGTAACTCAATCGGATGATTTCAGCGGTGTTGTACTCTTTAATCTGAATGTTTCTACATGAAGTAGGCGCTGGTGATTCTATCAAGAACAACAATCAAAGCTTCACAATTAAATCATCCATCTCGGAGGACTCAGTATCATCCAAAACAGTACCTTTCTGTTGGCTTATATTATATGTTGAAGTTACTTACTTATGCCTGTTATCCCTCGTGGAGGAGCAAAGGCCTCCCACCAGCATTCGCCATCCAACTCTGTCCTGGGTGATCCTTTCCAGTTCTTCTCAGTTACTATTCTTCATTTTCATGTCTGCTTCCACTTCCCAACGCAGTGTGTCCTTTGGCCTTCCCCTTTTTCGTTTCACTTCAGGATTCAAAGTTAGCGCTCGCCTCGTGATGCAGTTTGATGGTTTTCGCAACGTATGTCCTATCCATCTCCATCGTCTTTTCCTAGTTTCCTCTTCAACTGGGAGCTAATTTGTTCTCTCCCACAATAGGTTGTTGCTGATGGTATCTGACCAACAGACACTGAGTTTCTTGCGTAGACAATCGTTTATAAATACTTTTACCCTTTTGATCATACTTGTAATAGTTCACCAAGTTTCAGCTCTGTACAGTAGAACTGTCTTGACGTTCGTAACGAAGATTGTGATCTTGATTTTGGTTGACAGTTGTTTTGAGTTTTATATATTCTTGAACTGTAGGAATGCTGTTGTTACTTTGCCAATCCTTACTTTTAAGACTGCATCCGTTACTCCTTGTTCATCGATGATGCTGTCCAGGCACGAGTAGGCTTCTGCATCTTTCAGAGCTGCCCCTTCAAGTGTGCTTTTATCGGCTTACACTACGCTATATTCTAAGATCTTGTTTTTCCCCTGGTGCATGTCGTGGCCTACTACTGTAGAGGTCTTTTCTACAGTTGTGTTGACCTGCATTTGTTCGTTTGTATGGAATAGAAAGACTAGACGGTCTGTGAAGTCCAAATCGTCTACTTGCATCCGAGCAGTCCATTGTGTTTCGTGCTTCTGATCAGATATGATGGTCTTCATAGCTTTCATCAAATAAGCCTATTATTAAGGTTGTAGACTTATGGTCTAGTTCAGTATTAATACATTTATCTTCTCTACTATAATAATAGAACTTATCCCAAAATCGTCGATTTGTCATGATATGACTACCTAACCCATATGATATTACGTGGAAGTCACATCATAGTCTACACTGGCTCATCCTATCGTTACAATCAGTAATGTGACGCTTACAACGTCAGAAGAACACATTTAGACTGGGAAGATAGTAATTTATTCGATACAGAAAGCAAGAGGTTACATAGGGTGACCATGTGGAGGTGATTGCTACTAATATTAACGTGACTCGTTAAATTATCTCTATACTAAATTATTTATGACAATCCCACTTTGTTTAACTGTTAGATAATGTTCACGCAAATTTCCGTTTTGAGCGTATTAAAAATTAAACCAAACATTTCGCAATTATTACATGTATTCCCCGATGCTGCCCTATTAAAGTTAGATATACCACTATTATGTGAGTTGCTTAACTAATTTCAAATCTATGGAAGATAAATTGTCACTGTTTAGATATCCATTATTCCTAATATCACTTAAGAATAACTATTGCCGTAAACTTAGCAGCTCATTGTCTCAGCAATGGTCATTCGTAAATAAATTTTAAAACTTCACTTATTTAAGTTATTTGTGTCAAGAGTAGTTTTTATCATTCACAGAGAACGTTATTTGTGACCCAATAACAGACAGATATATACGAAGTCAAAAATCTACATTTTTGTAAATACTCAGAAATCCTACGTATAGTCATTTCTAACACAAAATTTGTTGCCACGCACACTATATAGGATACGGTAACTAAATTACTAGTTCATACATCCATATTCTATACTTTACATTTTCATATAAGTTTTGACGATGAAATCGTCTGTAATGGCCATTATAAAGAGATCAAAGTTTCCTTTAAGACAAGTTACTTAAGACTTTAAGTTCGATTGTGTGTTATTTTCTAATGTCGGCTGGTAAAAGATCGAAATTACTTTAAAAATTGTCGTTTATATTTTACAGTTTAGTTTTATATTCATTATAGTCCTATTATTTCATTGTGTGTAAAATATGTTCCTTTTTTGTACTGAAGAATTTAAAGTCAAACGAAGATGGGATGATGATGTTGTATTTAAAAATTGTGCTCGAGGTGAAGTCGATCATGTAAAACGTGGATTCGTAAATGATACACTACGATCTGAATTTCATAAAAAATTTATGAAAAAATATATTCAATAATGCACATGTACATTTTCTTCCCTCAATAATGCTTTTACTCCCTGTAAATAAATGATTGTTTTAAACAATGTTCTTTTAACTTTGTATCCGAAAGTTTCTGCACATGTAGTGTGTTAAAACTTTATGACAAGAATCGCTTCCAGAAACACGAACAAGTTTTAATCTAAAAACACCACATTAATATGCTTTACACGTAGTAATCTTAAGTAATCAAATTTATTGAATTTTTCGGGTCGGAATTTATCATGAAGCAATCAAAATCAAGCAATAGAACAGCATCATCTGGTGTAATTGATGAATTTAAAAGATCAAACTTAACTGATATTCGCGAATTTTATATTTGAATCTCCAGGTTTTTTAATAAATAAAAGCTCCTTCTATATGCTATAATTAAATGTTGATTCCCGTGGTAACTTTAGGAACAGTTCGTGCTAGGCCACCAAAAGCTCAGTGTATACATGACAGTCTATTCTTTCTATGGAGCAGTTAGGTTTTCGAACTTATGATGGCATTCCTCACATTACCGTTAGCCAGTTGATGAAAAAAGAAAATAGGAGTTTCATTCAGTAGAAAAACCGAGTGGTGTTGTATCTAACAAAAGCGTTAAAAATAAAGACGACTCATTTCCAGGATTCAAGTATTTATTCACTACGCTACCTATGTAGCGTGTTATACATTCCTAACCATCAGGACGAACACTATCTCTAATATCAGTATCGGTTTGTGGAGATTGTTAAGTGTTTGATTGAGACCATTAATCGATTGATGCTAGACCATCATTGAAAACCTGGAAGCACTGGATGGACGTTTCGTCCTATTATGGGACTTCTCGGTAATTCGCGTTCACGATCTTGCTCTCGGGATTCGAGCCTGCGACCTTCAGTCTCATGTGCGAACGCTTCACCTCTAGACTACTGAGCCGGCCAGCCTTCAACGGTGTTAATATCTAACTTATCACCATTGGATGCCGGCCGGCTCATTGGTCTAGAGATGAGGCGTGAGACCGAAGGTCCTAAGTTCGAATCCCGCGAGCTTGAACGCACATGTTTAAGGAGTCCCATAATAGGACGAAACGGCCATTCAGCGCTTCCAGGTTTTCAATGATGGTCTAGCATCAATCGATTAATGGTCTCAATCAAAAACTTTCTAATAATCAGTGTAAGAAGCAGTCCCATTTTTGTAGTTTGGGTATTTTGATGACTAATGGTTCAGTTAGTCATCTACAACGTGAGATCAGGCACATTTATGCATCGGTCCAGGTTGTCATACTCATTAGCACAACAAATGAACACCGAAATCATAGAAGTAGTTAATTCAATGGTAGTAGTATATAAAAGAAAGATTGCATATAAAGATATAGTAAAGGAAGAAAGAATAAGTTCGTAGAAAGAAAGGCATAAAGCAATTTTAATCTCACAGTGTAAGGAAAGACAAAGGGTATATGCACCTACACCATTGTGATCGATTCTAAACGATGTCATCCAGAGTCTCCAACCATTAGTTACGGTAGTCTCACGGACCCCGACCGAGTAGTCTTTATCTACCAACATGTCTCAGACAGGAAGTAAGTGGCTTTATGGACTAATGTCACGTTTTGGTTTGTCCACCCGCAACCTTCTTCCAGAATTCTCAAACACTGATCAGCATTGTGCGCCATGGTAACCAGTTGATGAAGCTTCACAGCCTCATCAATTGATTTACCATCATTCCCTAATAGCGTGCTTCTGATTTCACTATTATTTACTCAGTGATCCTAGCAGATGCGAGCAATATTTATAGGATATCTGTGACCAAATACTAGTAACTTACGAGTATCTTCTACTCTTAATGGCCACGTTTCGCAGCCGTAAAATAGAACAGAACGAACTGCTGAGCAGTATACTCGTCCTTTAATTGATATTTGGATATCTCGTCTTCTCCATAGGTGACGTAATTTGGCAAACCCGAACGAGCTTTCTGAATCCGTGCACAGATTTCTTCAGACACCAACTCATTGGGACTGATCAGACTTCCAAGTTAAGTGAAGTTGTCGACACGTTCGACTACTTTACTCCCTACCCTTAGTTCAGGTATTAATGCAGGTCAGTCTTGAAGCAACAACTTGTTTTAAGAGAGAGAAACGCATCCCAAGCATCCTGGTATTGTTTCTCAGTGCTACCAAAAGACTCTGCATTTTGTCGGCGTCTTCACCAAAGAGGACTATATCATTTGCATATTCTAATCCGATAATTGAACCCTTGAAAGGAGATCGATCGCTGAAAATCCATTCGACAAGATCGTTATTTCCAGCAGTATGTCCATGATGAAGTTGAACAAAAATGGAGTGGACAAGCTTTCCAGAACCACTTGAGGTTGTAAAATCAGATGACAGTTCGCCATAAGCTCTGACTTGACCGGTAGTGTTTTAGTAAAGGGCCTTCACTAGTTTTATGTACTTCTGAGGTACACCTTTCAATAAGAGACATTGCCACAGAACCTCTTGGTCTACAGAGTCAAATGCTGCTTTTAAGTCAAGAAGAACTATCACCGTCGGTCGCCGACGAATGGTTATGAACCTTAAGTAACTTAGTTCATTACCAATTAAAGTGGCTCAAAGTCAATCACTGTAAAAGCAAATAATCTGAAAGTTTTAAGGATTTATAGTCATCTTACCATCGATCTAAGCAGTTAGTTGTTTCCAATATTTTTTGTCACTATATGAGATATTTTAACAAAGTGAATATTAGTGTCTTGAGGAAGGAAGTTTTATAAAAAGACTTTGTTTGAAAGAAATCAGAGTAGTATTCAGTCAGTCGCAAAAATAAAGTACAAATGTAAAGGACAGGAATTTAGCCACCGTTTAGTACGTTTCCGTTGAGCGTACTAAAGCTAATTAGTTGTATAGTTTATGCAGTTTAAAATCACTCAATAAATGTTAATCATTGACAGCTTTATTTTTCTCATAGTGAACGCTATCATTTGGTGAACGTAACATGCACGTTTATTACTGGATATCAGTCAACACTTCCTTGCTTGAAATAAACATCCTAATGATTCAGTAGGAAACGTTGATCATTTTCTTCATTGAACAATAGGTACATTAAGAGACTTATTAGGTTATCCATGCATTAACTACTTACATCAGTGAGCATAGTTAATTAACATAGTGGGGCTAAGAATTTGAACATTAATGAGAAATTCAATAGACACTACTGTACTAAAATTCCACGAGTTTCACCGTAAATAATTCGAAAGTTACTACTTGAAAATTTGGTATACAAAATCATAATTTATCTTAGACAAACGTGCTACTGCAAACCTTTAATTACCTGGACTTAATGATTTATAACTATAACGGAATGATACTTAATACAGCCTAAGCCACTTTTCCTAATCTAGCATCAGTCAACAGGAATAAAAATTTACATTTTTCGAGTGTAGTCCTTAACATTTTTTGTCTCCGTGTACTACTTATTGATGATCAGTAGTCTGTTGCTTTCACACCTGTACAGATAATGGTTGCAACAGAAAGACAAATATCCAAACCACTCACTATTTTTCTTTGTTCGTTCCACCAGTAGTGTAGTGAACGAGAACTCAAGTGGGGACAATCGAATGTATTTGACCACAAAATTACAGAATCTCTAAGTAAAATCTGAGAACCATACAGTAAATAGTTCATTTGCAAAATATCAGTCAATCGTCTCAGACTTCATTGTTCCTTCGTTTTCACACCGATCATTATCTGTTCTCGTTCTCTTTTCTTCGATCTTAACCTTCTGTTGCCAGGTATTTCACTTTCGACTGATGAAGCATACTACTTATATCTGTCGACATCAGTAGCACAAACCACAGTAGTATTAGAGTTTTTTCTCTCGTTTGCTCCTGTCCCTACGTATTAGCCTTTGGGGCTCTTCTTCATTTTGAGTAATTTATTTTTGAAATCCAGTAGCTTATTTCGTTTCGTCATTTTCTGTTATTACTAGTTGACTCATTCATGTGGTATTTTCTAATTTATGGCAGTATGTACTTTGACTGTGTTTTTAATGACTCAAATGAGTCCTCAGAAACGTAACATTCAAAGCTTTATGCATAATTGGAGTTTATTGTGTTTTTCATGGCATTTCGTTCTACTAAATAAGTTTAGCTATCGTGTTGTGGGGTTTTTAAGCATAACATCGCCTTTAAGTTGGAATTCCCAGAAACACTTTTTTTAGTGCCAACGATGCTTATATTTGACATCCTGATGAATGTTTGCTAGAGTCGAACAACTTCTTTATCTACATCATTTTGTTATACAAAGGTTAACTTCAAAACTGCAATGCATAACCTTGAGCGTAGACGGGAGTTTATAGTTCGAATTAGATGAATCCATGTCATGTTAAATAGCATTCCATTTATAGTAATGGAAGATAATCATTAAAACTATCTTGCTGCTTGTTGTTTACCAATTAAATGTAGCTGTATCTTCATAAAATGTGTAATTTAACCAGAGACATTAACGCTACTCAAGTATCTATTATATTTCAAGTTCTTTTAAAACATTTATTCGATGGGATATTAAGTAGATTTATACGTTCTATGATTCACTCAATAAACTTTAATATTACTAATTATTCTGTAAAGTGAACACTAATTAATCTGTTATCGTCAAGATGAAACATTTATAAACAACATGGTAAAAAAAGTCAGGTTCGCTCAAAGGCGCCCACCGCTTCGTTTAAACGACCATGAACGGTCTCACGTGAGGCGGTCATTTCTTATTTCAATTGCTGTGAGTTTGTTACTTTTCCGTTGGGTTGCACGAATAGTAAGTGTTCTCATATTTAAGTGGTCTTTTGCTGCAGCGAAACCACAAAATGATTGCGAAGAACATTGATTTAACTCTCTCTGCCTTGTAGCGCACACGTTGGATCGATTGATATTTAGTAACTTCCCAGTCTCCCTATTTTGGGGAAAATTTTGTCCAGCTTGGGTAAATTTTTGGGAAACCGCTATAGAAAATTTTTGGGAAATGGCACAAAAACCCAAAAGTTTTTGGGAAATTTTGGACTTTCTCCAATATTTCCACAGAAACTTAGAACACTTTGAGGTTTCCCCTCAAACTTTTGGGAAAACTACCAAATTTTTTACGATTTTGGGGAAAACCTCAAAATTCTCAAAATTTCTTCAAGATAGTGAGATTAGGTTGATCTGGGATACCAATTTCTTTACTGAACCTCACTGTCTTTGTTTAAACCTTGGTATGATCCAGAAAACAATGCAACAAAAATGAGAATAATTTAACAGTTCTAGATACGTGAACTTTGTGTAGATCGCTGTTTTACCCAATGATTAAGGCCAATTATTAAATAACCGGTAAGTCTTAGATGTTAGCAGTACTTTCTTCAATTAGTAAATTATTGTTGCAACGAATAACTGATTTTTAATAATTACCCAGTGCTGTTTGTACTGCTTCATGTTAAAGAGTTATTTTAAACGACGTAAGAGAGACATTTCGGAAGCTGTACTGAATTCGATGATGTGCTAAAGGAATTTCAAAAATTAGGGTAGAATAAATTTTTCCCTTCTCAGACAATCCATACTCATTACATTCATGGGGACTTTCCCAGCCTAATGCAATTCTGAAAAATAATAAATCAATGATAAAACAAACGATGAAACTTCGTTTTTAGCATCAAATTCAATAAGTAAATCAAATAGCAGCTAACAGAATGTACCTATGAGTGTCTTACTTGTTGTAAACAGTGCTCTTCATTTTTTAACACTCCTAGGATTTCACCTAGTCATTTGATATTAATAAAGAAACTGCAGGTACCAAATAAACGGATTCAAAAACTTCAATTAGTAATATGAAATCTGAGAAAAATCCAACTACAACGTTCATAATACTATTAGCAATTCACTGTTTACATACAATAATAACATCATTGGTAAGCACTATTTAGATATTACTTGTCAATATGCATTAGAACTTTGTTTATATATTGGTCAGTGATTGCGGATTCTGTTTACAGAAATTCAATTGTTAACCCTATAACAGACACATCATAAGCTGGTATTAACCACGACATCGTTTAGTTTCCATGGTCAAAGCAAACACGCATCAACTTACTTTTGAAGAATATGTGAGTAATTAATGTGGCACAGTAATGTTATACTCAGTTCCTGTATATGTTCATAAATTGAGCAGAAAAGGCTATCAACCTAAATTGTTACTCATAATTTTTCTTTCTCAAAGGCGTTACATAACAATATGTCAGTTCAGTCTAAAACAATGATACTTATAATAGATAGAACTGTTTATGGCTGTATATTAGCAACTTATATTATATTCAAAAGTAGTTTAACGCTTAATTGCTTCAACCTACACTTTATAAACAACTACCAACATCCATATTTATCACCACCATAATTGAGGAGATAAATCAAATGTTAGAGGTTTCAGAGCTCATTTTTGCATAAAACTCTGATTATGATCTATTTTTGACCTCATAAATGGTGAACTTACCTTGCTTGAGTTTCCATTATTACAAATAACCACATTTGGCTGACTAAACTTTCACCCAGGTTGTGAACAGCAAATATGTCAAACTACTAATAAACCGAAATGAAAGCTACGTAACAGGCACAAACATTACAAAAATTGACATGTGACGGAAAAATTGCTGTTAATAGTTGATAATTAACGACATCCAAAACACTTGACAACATGTAATATGTGCGCGAAATCCCGCAACCTGACTTCTTGACTTTCCCTCCAAAAATTTAAAACAAATTAGTATTATTTCAATATACAATGTTTATATTCATATTTCACTATAATTAATATTTACACAAAAATGAAACTATTTTCTTTTATACAACTCAGAAATTTTAAATTGAAATTAATGAATAAAATAGTTGAAAGAATATTAGTTATTTCAATCGACTGACTAAATCATTTGGATCTAATTTATTTTATAATAAAGAGTTAATTAAGTAACATTAGTAACTTGAGACACATTCCATCTAATCATCATTTTTATTGATCGTAAATGAATGAAAATTTATTTACAATGGCGCAATTTTTTAAATGAATAACAAGATACCAAAGTAGTAATATTGTTACATTAAAACTAAAATAATTTAAAATTAAATTATTTCATTTGAAATGGTATTTGATTACAATTGAATCCAATTAGAATTGTAGCTAAGTCTTTGGAACTTAACAATGTAGAATAATCAATTCTAGGATTCAATTTTACAGTTGTATCTGTAGAAGACAATGAATTAATCAATGTATGTGTGAATGTTTCCTTTGTATCTATCCCAGTGGTCAAATTTAATAATGATTTGGTTTTCAGTTGAACTTCTTCTTGTGAAACATTTGAAGTAGTATCTGCTGTCAGTGTAACAGGCGATAAGTTGTTAGCTGAAAACAATACAGTCGAATTGTTATCTGCATTGTTTTTAGGAATTAAATTTTGCAAAGCTGATGTATAAGCGTTGAATGAATTCAATATTGTTTGAGTATCAGACAATAGGTTAAGTTGCTGTTGATTTGTTTCCATACTACTATGACTGTTATTATCATTATTATTGTCAACATTCATATTATTACGGCTATGTGATCGTTCGTATTTACGATATTTAGCTCGACGATTTTGAAACCAAACCTAAGAGAATAAAGAAAAAAAATTTATTAAATCATGCTCAGTGGAAGTTGTATAGAGTGTTTTACAATATTGTTTATCTGTTAATACAGAAATTACAAATGAAAGAACCACTAAAAAAATCCGTTACAACATTACACCATAATACTAATCACTATTCATGAATGACGTAATAGTACCATGGAAATGCTTTACACATTACATCATGGTTGATTTTGTAAAATTCCCTTGATCTTTTGAAAGCATTCGATTAGGGGGTCTCTAGAAAGTATAATGAGCTATTTCAATTGATAATTAATGAACTATATCGCTAACTTATTGATGCTGGAATAAAGCGTTCGTTAAATGTTGATCTAATAATTCAAGGGTAACTACATTCAGCACCTGAATGTCACCATAAGATTCAATGACTGATAATTCGGAAGAACGATGATTTAAAATATTGACTGACTAAAAATTTTCATAGTTGAAATCATGAGTCAATTGAAGCTATATCACCATGGTAAACCTGGAAGCACTGGGCGGCCGTTTCGTCCTACTACGGGACTCCTCAACAGTGATGGAAATACTGAAATCTCCACAAAACCCCTTCTTACTAAAAATTGTTTAAATGTTTTTCATATAAAATGAGTGATAAGTGAGATTTATATTTAAGTCAATCAGTCTTTTCTCAAACTATGTACTGTCAATAAATGTAATTCAATTTAATATCTTCACATAAATGTTTTTACAGTAGAATACATTATGACCACTTTGGCATATACAGTTTATTAAGTGATGGTTTTGTGCCGGAAAAATAAATAATTAAAATACTATTCGCAAATTAGTCTACGGTGGATACAAATGATGATTTGTTTATCTCATTCCAGACAGTTAATTAGCGTATCACCACCTCACTTGGTCAAAATCAAGTGCACAATCTATTTGTTTAGGTAATCACTGAATTCTACAAGATTTCATTAAGATCTAATAACAAGACTGTAAGAATAATCTAAAAACTCTAGTTTCCACAACTAACGTATACACATACATATTTACTATGAAAATTTGTCCACTTCAAAATATAAAACTTGTCTTAAATAATTTAAGATATAGTTTAGCACAGTTCATTGGTGGATAATCTCATAATAATTAATCGATTTAAGTAGTATCACAAACAGATTTATTATTTGAAAAATAACTTTATTACAGCATGGTAAGCAGAGATGGATAGTGGCTAGCAGTGGAATCCAGGACGCGCGTTTCGTCCTATTTGGGACTCGTCAGCTGGATGTACCTGCATCTCAGAGTTGATGTTCACTCTGGGACTCGAACCCAGTACCCTCGCTTCAAACGCCATCGCGTTATCCACTCGGCCATCCATCTCTGCTTACCATGCTTGTGAATTAAGGTATATCGAGGCAATACGCACAGTATGCACATATGCCAATTAGAGACTGACCAGTTGCAGTCCTAAACACATCGATGGGAAGATCCAAACAAACAATACTAAGTGAATTCTAACTTCATTACAGTTTGTAATTTTTCGGCGATAAATAATTGAGCTTGTCTAAAATAGAAATATAAAATATATCTATGATTTACATGTTCTATCTCAAAAGTATGGGTACTTCATGGGAATTTCAATGAGTTTCTGATGTTAATGTTAAGGGCTGAACTCAGCGGATAACAGCTTAAGTATTCGAAACGAAAGACATTTGGTTCGAGTCCCGGTGTGAATATCAACACTGGATGCAGGCACATGCAGCTGATGAGTCTCAAACAGGAAGTAACCCATGTCTTGAATTCCATTTCTACCTACTTTTCTGTTCTACTTAAATACAGTCTGATGTTCCTTCTAACCTAAACGATTATTTCAGTAGTATGCTAGTCACCAAAAATTGGTTTAGAAAAAAACTTATAAACACTAAATCCTAAAATAAAGTAAACTCAACTATTTTAACACTACGTTAGTAACCCATGCTTTTTTCTTTATAATGAATTCATGTTACTATGATAATCATCTTTAATTATGTTAATCATATCATTTTTATGGGCTACAAATCAAATCAAAGTAGCTATTAAATACACATTAGTATTGAATCATTTAACATAGATACAATGAATGATTTAATCACTTAAGTGTCATATGTGACTCTGTATTTTGTATTATCATTAATCGAGTTAAGATTTATTGTCAAATTAAATTAACCACTTGAAAATAACTTAATTGATACTTAAGCATGATGTATCTGTGTATATATGTATGTGCATATGTGTGTGTATGAATCATGTAGTGAAATTGTATGGATGTAAACACTTTAACACATTGTCATTCGTGTACAACACTATCACCATCCACCTTTTCTTATATCTTATGATACTTATGTCACTTATTACTGAAGTATAATTACACACTCATAGAAAAGTGACAAGAACTATTCATTCTCTTCAAATTGAAATGGAATTAATTAAAAGGGGATTAATGTATAACACACATACATTCACATAAACATACAAACAAGATAATGTATTTAAAATATAAAAATGTTCTTGTTAATTATTAATCCCAACCACATAAATATATATCCATGCACATATATAACAAAATATGCATATATACATAAAATGTTAATCATGAAATTCAACCAAGTAACTGTGATTTCATTTTAGAGAAAAACTTTTGTATTTTTAGTAGTCAATGTATTCAAATAAATTTTAATCATTATCATCATCTACCTTAACACGAAGGACAAAACGAAAAAAAATAAATCCAATGATAAATTAACTAATTTACAAATTAATGTATCAAATATTTAAATATATATAAAAGTTTTGTACTATGGGGTAAGCAAAACATATGAATAAAGTTGAAGTGGATAAACTAGGGAGGGGGTGGGGTGGGATTATTTAAATGAATAGAATAGTGATCATTGATCAATGAATGGACGGTTTTTCTCAGAAATATGGGGTGAGAGATTAAATGGTGTTGTTGTTGTTGTTATACATAAAAATGTTTTATTTAGAAAAAATTTAATATTTTTAATTAATTTAGAAACACGATCATCATATACACACAAATTGACATATTTATACAACTTGAACCCTGAATAATGAACTGAAGTGGATGGGATTATTTATGTTTTATAGTTGATTATTATCATGATTAGATGTTGTAACTGGGTTATGTAATACATTTATTGATGAGAAGAAAATTAACAATAAGATGTTTCTTTTCGAAAAATGAACAGCCTCTTATTGGTCTATACACTTGAAAAAACAATTCTTATAACATTTAATTGAACACCCTTAAAAATAAAGTTATAATTGGATGTGTTAGTTGAACAATTACTTATCGCATAGCTAGAATGATAAAAAATTTATGTGATGTAGCCTAGTATTTTTTAAAAAGATTTAATTGACTAATGAGAATTATTTGAAGACCAAATGTTAATGTCATCATTCATTTAACACATTTAAATAGTTATCAGAGTAGGGGTTCGTGAAGATTGTAATAATTTTAATAGTTGTTTCCATGAGTTGATCTAAGTTAGACCCCATTCTGATAGTGATCATGTGCTCATTAGTGACTATCTTCAAGATGGATTTCCTGGAGTTCTAGTAAGAAGCCGTGACAAGTGCAGTCCAACCCGTCTCGGGTGTGAGACAGTTATCCACCTTAGACAAGAGATAAAGGGTTATGCAAGATCATGGATTGACCGAGGTTAGACATTAACATAGTTGAAACCGGCTAGGTGGTTTATTTGTTAAGCGTTCTCGCGCAAGATCGAAGGCTTCGGGTCCCAGTCCCTCAGGAGAGGTCGTGGATGCTCATTGCTGAGTCCTCCCGTACTAAGACGAAACGGCCGTTCAGCGCTTTCAGGTTTTCACTGATGGTCTAGCTTAGATCGACTCCTGAATTCAACAAGCTGAAAACAGTTAAAGACCGAATAAAGGTAAATATATCTTTAGTCGTTAATTGAAGTTTTTATAAAATATATTCTGATGGTTTTTATGCTTAATGACTCGATATATATACATATATTGAATTCCGGACAAATGATTAAAAACTGAATATCATGGTAGAACACATCATCCTTGTAAACAACTGTACATTATAATTAGAGACAAAATATTATAGATTAACATTGAATCCTGAATATTATTTTGAAATGGTTTAGATAAATCGCCGCAAAATGAAATTTCATGTCAAGCCACTAGTTTAACTGTAAGCCCAGAGAGAACCTTAAATATTTTTCTTTCTTTTTTGACTTCATAATTTCTAACGACATTTGGGCGTGTTTATCATTAAATATAAGATCAACCTTTAACATTTATTAGTTAATGTTTGATTAACTTTTAATCACTTTTACCGTACAAACATAGGTAAAACAACTATACAGTGTTCTAACCCTACTCAAAAAAAATTTTAATCACAAGAAAAATCAAAATCGTAAATCTCAATTAGAAATAATATAATATTCATCAAGGCTAATGATAAGTTTACTCAAACTAGTCAAAAACATATACACAAAATCAAATACTTATTTCACTAATATTATTCATACACTTACCTGTACACGACCATCTGACAAATTCAACTGACTTGCCAATTGATCACGTGCTGCGACATCTGGATATTGGTTAAGTAGAAATGAAGTTTCTAATGTATGTAATTGATATGTAGTAAATGTTGTTCTTAAACGTCTTGGTCTCATTGTGTATTTTGAACTCATATGATGATGGTGGTGGTGGTAGTGATCAGAATGATTATTTAAATTAAATGAAAACTTATTGTTAGATTTCGAATGAAGATAATTTATTGATTTTTCATTTAAATTCTTACTACCACAACTACTACTGGTAGTAGTAATGGTAGTGTTAGTTGATGTAATTGCTTTTGTCGAACTCTGATCATTTTGAATATTACAAGGATTTAAACATTCAGTCTTGGAATTGTTTTGTTGATGATGATCATGATGATGATGATGTTTAATATTTACATTAGACTTGCGATCATATTCAGTGACCATATTCAAGTTTTCATTGGTAACTGGTGATATGTTATTGTTGTGCATTGTAATTGAATGAGATGGACTCGAGAAAGTACTTAATAATGATGAAGATGATGATGTAGAGGAAGAGGAGGGCGATAATATTGGCTGTTGTGAAGAGAAATGATGAAATGGGCTAGAAGATAAAAGTACGTCTTGATGATTGTCTAAATGAGTTGTTTGTGGGGAAAGGAGGCTAGCTGGAGATGAATTAGAGGCAGAATTCATTTCATTCGAGTTATCCAGTGATGATAATGATAAATCGGTTTGTTTTTGGAACGTTGACTCTAAAATTAATAATTTTTAAACGAATAATTAACGTATTTCAGAATGATTTTAGAGTCACTACTTAATAAATATAGCACTCAAACATGTTGTAAAAAATAAGAAAATAATATATGTTCCATTTTAATCTGTTAGATTACAATACGTTATATATCGAAGTAAGTCAACATTTTTCACGTGGAAGAAAGGCAATTAATATGTTTACTGGATAATTTTCAACTCTTTAATTAGTTACATGGTAAGAGTCATTAACTAAAGCGTTTATTTATTTTCTACCGTTATCCTATTTAAATTGAATGATCATAATAATTACATTTTAAACAAATAAGAAAATTTCAATAGTCGAGATCATGAGTCAATTGAAGCTAGACCTCCATGGAAAACCTGAAAGCACTGAACTGCCATTTCGTCCCATTGTGGGACTCCTCAGCAGTGCGCATACATGATCCACGATTCACGATCTCAACTATTGAAATTACTATAATATCCTCAAAGCCCCTTATGATGTTAAATGAGAAAATATTCATTGTTTGTTGATATCTTTTCTTAAACTTACCAGAATTGCGTTTTCTATGATGAGAACGACGATGTGATTGGTATTTTCGTACATCATTGTCTTCTTGTTTAATGTCAGAATTAACGGATTCTTGATCGAGGTCATTTAGATCATTAAAAGATAAATTATCTGTTTTCAGTAGTGTTTCAATTGTGAAACTCATTGGTTTCGTGATTGCTCTTTGTTTTACTGAAAATAAAGAAACGAAATATGAATGATTATTTTTGTAAATTTAAACAGATTATTGTACTGTGAGAGATTAATAAATTGATTTACCTAGTAATATATAGCATGTAACCCACTAGCATTTAACTGTCCTAACAACCTAAATAATATTTGCTGAATAGTACTGAAATCTCTCTGGTACATATTTTTTGTGAGTATAATTCTTGAAATTTCAAAGACATTTATCGAATATTGGAGAATGAGAATTACATAGGTCTGATACGTTTATCAGTCCCTCACATATGCCGCGAAAATTATGACATTTACAGCTGATTGATCACTGGGTGTCAGTGTCTACCTTGTTTAGTTCTTAGGGCTGATCGGACTCTGTCGATCAAGTCATACTGACTTGATATCACGTACAATATGTTATCATGTCAGATCGTTAGTGGACAGAAGACCCTGAATCTACGTTTCATTTTAATTAGCACTCGTTATCAAAGTATACCTTTAATCCTGAGGGGATTGATGTTCCCAGGTGGATCAAAACCTTGGTTATCTAGTTTTATAGTTTGGACGTTATCAATTAGCTGACAATCAGGTATACGACACGATATAATGCTTATATATATATATATATATATATATATATATATATATATATATATATATATATATATATATATATATACATATATATATAATCTATCATGAACTGAAATTCACTGAACAATTAGTAAAAACTTGAGTTCACTGGATAACTGCCCAACATTAATATTCAAAAGTTTTAAGCTCATTTCTTAATGTTATCAAGTTAACCGTGATTTTCAATTGGTGTAATCAGTGAGGATAATTTATTTCTAATGGAACAATCTTCACAAACATTACAAAGTGCTCAATTCAAGCTTTTTGTTTCTTAACAAGCAATGTTCTTTTAACGAGCTCATTTCAGAGGACAAAATAGATAAACTGCGAATTACCTTCTAAAATCAACATATATGACTTCAGTCACTACTGGATATGAACTCTGGATACTTTTAATTATTAGAAAGCCTGAGTATTATAAATTATAAGAATTAATATTTATCAAGATCGATCACTATATTATCTTCTTCCTTTATTGAAGATTGTCATAACCATACTGGTAATTAATAATGATGGTCATTATAAGCTCACTAAAGATTTACTTCAAGATGAGATGAACATTATTCTAAAATGGGGAACTGAAAGTTTCGAAATCAAATAAGTTATGACGTGGATGGTAATTTATCATTATCATTTAAATAAAGTTAAACTTTATGAAAAATGAACCTCAGTCGAGAATGTAAATTTCTAAAAACTTAAACATCTTATATATATCAATACCAAGGTTGGACATCATAATTTCATATTAATTAAGTGCGCACTGCTGAGGAGTCCCATAATAGGACGAAACAGCCGTCCAGTGCTTCCAGGTTTTCCATAGTGGTCTAGCTTCAATTGACTCATGATCTCAACTCTATAAATTACTAAAATCTCCACAAAACCCCTTCTGACATTGTGTAAATAGTTAATAATAAATATATTTTTGTTATATCCGAATAAGTAGAACTCCGCCTGTAGCTCTTCTAGAGTTACTACTGGTCCCAAGCCCGGGTAAAGGAGGAGCGTTGGACATGGGGTTAGCGATCTAATCCCATAGAAAACTAACTCGCTAAAAAACGCTAACCAGAAATAATCCTAATAAGTAGATATAATAAAAATATATTTATTATTTTTTAACATCTTAATATTCCATCTGAAGTAAAGTAATGCTTTTTTTAAGCAATATCAACACATTTAACACATTGAATGTTTATCAGACTGATGTGATAAAACACAATTTCCATCATATCTCATTAACAATTTGAAATAAAATAAATGATTCAAAGTTTAATTAGAAAATTGTTTAAAATAAATAATTATTCATCAAAATACTTACTGAATTAAATTATTTCTAACCAAGTACAAAAGTTTCCACCAATTTTACGAGAAAATGAATTATTTTAAAATTATTAAATCTTATTTAAGTGATAACAATGACATTATATTTTGATTGGTCAAAATTTACGCAAATTTCAATAGTGGTTTCACTCCCCTCTTTATATAACGAGATTTAATTTAGCCAATTAAATTTTAGGACAGTCTAATTGGGACGGAAATTACTGTATGTATTATTCACCCCTTTTTGATTAATAATTTTTAAATTGACCTAATTGAAAAGGGTATATTTGCAATTGTGGTATAGGATATAGAATATTTTACGTGCTCTGATTGGCACGATTTTATAATGACAAGGTTGTTATTGTCGTTTGCAAATAAATACTAATAACTAATTATTTAGGCCAACCAACTAAGAGAATGTATAACACTACAGAAACATCACGGTAGATGTAATCAGATTTAAACTGATCTGAAATTTCGTTATCAAAATATCCTTCATATTTAGTCATTCAATAAAGGCACAATTTTTATTCAACAACTGTTCAATAGATCAGAAGGGGTTTGGTGGAGATTTCAGTATTTTCATAGTTGAAATCATGAGTCAGTTGAACTTAGACCACCATGGAAAACCTGGAAGCACTGGTTAAGTACTCTGGCGCGAGACTGGTAGGTCCTGGGTTCGAATCTCGCGAGTGCGCTGTCGTGGATGCGCACTGCTGAGGAGTCCCATAACAGGAAGAAACGGCCGTCCAGTGCTTCCAGGTTTTCCATGGTGGTCTAGCTTCAACTGACTCATAATCTCAACTATGGAAAAACTATTTAATATCCCAAAATTGTTTTGTCGATTAATAAAGCCACCAATAAACATAACCTAAACCAACATGTGTGCAACTTGTAATGGAAAAAAATAAACTAAATTAGTGTTAAAAATGATATAATTTATCCAAATAATTATGTTTAATCCATACACAATATCATATTTTGAGTTGTAGACTTCCGCAACAAATGATTAAATTTTAAAGTTTGTGTAAAGTGAACAGAGTATTTACAAGAAATTTAGCACTTCAGGTTTCTAGCTATTTAAGTTAAGTATGATTTTTCGATTCAATCTTAAGAAATATTTTCATCAGCTGTGTAATTTTAATTTTAATTTTCGTAAGAACTGAATCATACAAATCATTATATGTGAAGATTACATTTGAAATAATCTCAGCGAATGAAATTTAAATAATTCCAACGTTTTGTCCAGCTACCTTGTCTGAACTTCTTCAGGGATTCCTCTATACTCGGCGCCCAATTTTTATCAAGCTATTCGTTCTAATCTTGACGAATATTCGTAAAAACTATTTTCTAATTGAATCATACAAAGTTATCAAAAAAGAATTAACCTACAAGTTATAGTTTCTTATGATCTTAGTAACATTTGGGTTTAAATTTGTATTCCATTATTATGTAAGAAGTACTAATTACGTAATAACTAGTAAAAATATAAAACATGTTTATCGAATAACAACTAAATATTAAAACAAATATTATTATTCAATCTTTAAACAGTGAAAATTCTTTTCATTATTTTTAAAATATGATTAACTGGATGGTAAATTTCATTTTAATTTTTATTATTTAGATGTAACAGTATTAAAAGCTAAGCTGAAATAATCAATTTAATGCACGTAATTCGGTTGTTAACCTTTCTAGAATAATCTAGTCGATAGTTTTTTTTAATCTATTTTACAATACTCATTTATGCAGACACGAATCACTGGAGAAATATCGGTTGTTTTTCCCTCTTTTTTAACGAAAAGTTTACAGTTAGTAAGCAAAGATGGATGTTTGCTAGTAGTGGAATCCAGGACGAACGTTTCGTCCTATTTGGGACTAGTGAACTGGATGTACCTACACCCCAGGCTTGATGCTCATTCTGGTAGTCGAGCCCAGTACCGTTCTTTTCAAACACTATCGTGTTATCTACTTAGCTACCGAGTCCTGATAGCCACGTGCTTGTGCAATGGGGTGAAGTTTAAATTTACTTAGTATTGTTTGTTTGGATCTCCCCATTGATGTTTTTAGGACTACAACTGGTCGAGTGGATAACGCGATGGCGTTTGAAGCGAAAGTTACTGGATTCGAGTCCAAAAAAGAACATCAACTCTAAGATGCAGGTACATCCAGCTGACGAGTCCCAAATAGGACGAAACGCGCGTCCTGGATTCCACTGCTAGCCACTATCTATCTTTGCCTACCATGCTTGTGAATTCAGGCTACATCGAGGCAATACGCACAGTATGCACATATGCCAATTAGAGACTGACCAGTTGCAGTCCTAAAAACATCAATGGGGAGATCCAAACAAACAATACTAAGTATATTATTTAATAGGTTTTCAGTATCTTCATTTTCATTTCATAACAATCATTAAATGAATTGATGACATAGTTTTCATCTTATAACAAAAAATTCCAGACAATAACTGTTTGAATCGCTAAAATATAATTCTTGATTAAATGAAGCTGAATTTTAGATTCACCACAAAATATTCAGAAAGAACGAGAATGGATTGATTTGTAGTTCTTATGGGATAATTCTAAAAAAGTTCACCTTCAAATCAAGTAAACAGTGTTGATTTCATGCAAATGAGAATAATAGCCTTATGATTAAATTATTTAATTCGAAGATTAGAATATCGTTCTAAACAATCTACTGTAACTCTATATTCTCATAGTAATCGAATATTTACTCGATCATCAATATGTGATTTAACCTCTGTTCAACTGTTTATACTCAGTTTATTTAGAGTGTTTATCTGAGCACCTGTTTTAATGATATATAAACAATAATTAATTAGTGCATTGATGGTGTAGTCGTTCATACAGAAATATTTTTGAAGAATTTTGGCGGGAAGGATGAAATAATTATTCTGTGTTAGGTTAGTATTTGACTTTATGTATTTATTTACAAGATTTTGAAGAAATATGAGATTTATTACAAATCGGCGTCAACCGAAAGATTATATATATGTATGCCGCTAGTCGGAAT